GCAGGATGGTTCAGTTCACATAGGCAGCAAGTTTCCCCTTCACAGCACCAGGAGGTATCCACACCAACAGAGACCTGACAATCATGTGATAAAGGAATACCTAACAGAAAGTTTGCTAAGTCGAGAAGTAGGGGACTTGAGGACAAGGCTCCTTTACTATGAGTGGAAATTATGCAAACAGTCCATTCCACCTACCAGGACAAACTAACCTTTTGACACTACTGGCCTTTAGCAGGAGGATGTTCTCAGCAGCAGGAGGAAGTACCCCTTCGCACCAACAGCAGATCTCTCGTCACAGCATGAGGTTTCACTTGACACAAGCATGGGGTTTCCCTTTACACCATCAAGTGTGTTCTCGCCAGCATGGTCCTGGCAAACAAGTGATACAATGATAATGTTTTTAGCATTTTCTATTACTTTGGGAATGAGTTCCATCAGGGATTAGAGCCCACATTCGTAGAGTGAGGCACCAACTTGCTCGTACACAAAATGCTTATGACTTGCTGACCATTAACTAATTGAGCTGCTGGTTAGCAAACATGGCATGTTTGTGCATGCGATTAGAAAATAATGCAAGAAAAGGGTTCCCTTGAATAATGTCAATGATTAGGATTAATTCGAGTTAGATGTCAACACGAATTACTTTTGTTTGCAACATGGCTGGGATAGTTATGATATTTAAATCTCACAACCTATACTCACATCATGCAAAATGCAACAATGAAAAATAAGGAGTTATTTCCCTTTGACCATAAACAAAAGATTCTGTCGTGGACCCATAACTGGCACCAATGTCTGTATAAGCCTGAACAAGTGGTGACTATAGAAAGAGAATGTAGACTTACACTTCACTACATATCTGTACTTCCGAAGATTCTCTTCACTGCAACTGAAGACGAGGCACACAGAAGGAAAACACCTCTCAGCACTCTTGGGATTCTCTCAGCACCTGGAGGCACAATTTGCAGACACATAACAGATTCTTCTCACACCTTCAGAACATTAAACGAACATGCTGGATACCCCTTCAAAGTGTCATGTATGGATTGAACAAACAAAAGGATAATCAACCAAATGAAAGAACCAAATGGAGATTCTACTGGAATTATGCTTCTACGTCTATTGAAACAACGTTAAACAGAGGCCACTAGTTCACACCAGATCACATGAGAATATGAAAGTATCAGACGATCAAACAATCAAAATCATGAGTTTACATCCACCATGAGGCAAAACAAACATACAAATTGAAATATCAGAAATCCATATTAACCAGCCAGGGATGTTCTGGTATTTTAAATATTTGTCGAGAACGGTAGAAAACAAACTTCTTTCCATCAGTTGAATAAAACTCATCAAACCAGTCTTTCAACAAACAGCTGTTTAACCCAACCCCCGTGTCTGAGATAACCTGGAAAGGCAATCCAAATACTTTCCTCAAGTAAATATTGCAAGCAGGTAAGAAACAACCAGGAGATTATCCCTGATTCTAGCAGGATGTCCAGCTTCACACAAGCAGCATACTTCAGTTCACACCAGCAGGAGGTTACCCTTAAATTAAGCAGGATGGTTCAGTTCACATAGGCAGCAAGTTTCCCTTCACAGCACCAGGAGGTATCCACACCAACAGAGACCTGACAATCATGTGATAAAGGAATACCTAACAGAAAGTTTGCTAAGTCGAGAAGTAGGGGACTTGAGGACAAGGCTCCTTTACTATGAGTGGAAATTATGCAAACCGTTAATTCCATCTACCAGGAGCTTGCATCGACAAGCTTACCTTTTGACACTACTGGCCTTTAGCAGGAGGATGTTCTCAGCAGCAGGAGGAAGTACCCCTTCGCACCAACAGCAGATCTCTCATCACAGCATGAGGTTTCACTTGACACAGGCATGGGGTTTCCCTTTACACCATCAAGTGTGTTCTCGCCAGCATGGTCCTGGCAAACAAGTGATACAATGATAATGTTTTTAGCATTTTCTATTACTTTGGGAATGAGTTCCATTCAGGGATTAGAGCCCACATTCGTAGAGTGAGGCACCAACTTGCTCGTACACAAAATGCTTATGACTTGCTGACCATTAACTAATTGAGCTGCTGGTTAGCAAACATGGCATGTTTGTGCATGCGATTAGAAAATAATACAAGAAAAGGGTTCCCTTGAATAATGTCAATGATTAGGATTAATTCGAGTTAGATGTCAACACGAATTACTTTTGTTTGCAACATGGCTGGGATAGTTATGATATTTAAATCTCACAACCTATACTCACATCATGCAAAATGCAACAATGAAAAATAGGGAGTTATTTCCCTTTGACCATAAACAAAAGATTCTGTCGTGGACCCATAACTGGCACCAATGTCTGTATAAGCCTGAACAAGTGGTGACTATAGAAAGAGAATGTAGACTTACACTTCACTACATATCTGTACTTCCGAAGATTCTCTTCACTGCAACTGAAGACGAGGCACACAGAAGGAAAACACCTCTCAGCACTCTTGGGATTCTCTCAGCACCTGGAGGCACAATTTGCAGACACATAACAGATTCTTCTCACACCTTCAGAACATTAAACGAACATGCTGGATACCCCTTCAAAGTGTCATGTATGGATTGAACAAACAAAAGGATAATCAACCAAATGAAAGAACCAAATGGAGATTCTACTGGAATTATGCTTCTACGTCTATTGAAACAACGTTAAACAGAGGCCACTAGTTCACACCAGATCACATGAGAATATGAAAGTATCAGACGATCAAACAATCAAAATCATGAGTTTACATCCACCATGAGGCAAAACAAACATACAAATTGAAATATCAGAAATCCATATTAACCAGCCAGGGATGTTCTGGTATTTTAAATATTTGCCGAGAACGGTAGAAAACAAACTTCTTTCCATCAGTTGAATAAAACTCATCAAACCAGTCTTTCAACAAACAGCTGTTTAACCCTACCCCCGTGTCTGAGATAACCTGGAAAGGCAATCCAAATACTTTCCTCAAGTTAATATTGCAAGCAGGTAAGAAACAACCAGGAGATTATCCCTGATTCTAGCAGGATGTCCAGCTTCACACAAGCAGCATACTTCAGTTCACACCAGCAGGAGGTTACCCTTAAATTTAGCAGGATGGTTCAGTTCACATAGGCAGCAAGTTTCCCTTCACAGCAGCAGGAGGTATCCACACCAGCAGGGACCTGACAATCATGTGATAAAGGAATACTTAACAGAAAGTTTGCTAAGTCGAGAAGTAGGGGACTTGAGGACAAGGCTCCTTTACTATGAGTGGAAATTATGCAAACCGTTAATTCCACCTACCAGGAGCTTGCATCGACAAGCTTACCTTTTGACACTACTGGCCTTTAGCAGGAGGATGTTCTCAGCAGCAGGAGGAAGTACCCCTTCGCACCAACAGCAGATCTCTCATCACAGCATGAGGTTTCACTTGACATAAGCATGGGGTTTCCCTTTACACCATCAAGTGTGTTCTCACCAGCATGGTCCTGGCAAACAAGTGATACAATGATAATGTTTTTAGCATTTTCTATTACTTTGGGAATGAATTTTTATCAGGGATTAGAGCCAACATTCGTAGAGTGAGGCACCAACTTGCTCGTACACAAAATGCTTATGACTTGCTGACCATTAACTAATTGAGCTGCTGGTTAGCAAACATGGCATGTTTGTGCATGCGATTAGAACATAATGCAAGAAAAGGGTTCCCTTGAATAATGTCAATGATTAGGATTAATTCGTGTTAGATGTCAACACGAATTACTTTTGTTTGCAACATGGCTGGGATAGTTATGATATTTAAATCTCACAACCTATACTCACATCATGCAAAATGCAACAATGAAAAATAGGGAGTTATTTCCCTTTGACCATAAACAAAAGATTCTGTCGTGGACCCATAACTGGCACCAATGTCTGTATAAGCCTGAACAAGTGGTGACTATAGAAAGAGAATGTAGACTTACACTTCACTACATATCTGTACTTCCGAAGATTCTCTTCACTGCAACTGAAGACGAGGCACACAGAAGGAAAACACCTCTCAGCACTCTTGGGATTCTCTCAGCACCTGGAGGCACAATTTGCAGACACATTACAGATTCTTCTCACACCTTCAGAACATTAAACGAACATGCTGGATACCCCTTCAAAGTGTCATGTATGGATTGAACAAACAAAAGGATAATCAACCAAATGAAAGAACCAAATGGAGATTCTACTGGAATTATGCTTCTACGTCTATTGAAACAACGTTAAACAGAGGCCACTAGTTCACACCAGATCACATGAGAATATGAAAGTATCAGACGATCAAACAATCAAAATCATGAGTTTACATCCACCATGAGGCAAAACAAACATACAAATTGAAATATCAGAAATCCATATTAACCAGCCAGGGATGTTCTGGTATTTTAAATATTTGCCGAGAACGGTAGAAAACAAACTTCTTTCCATCAGTTGAATAAAACTCATCAAACCAGTCTTTCAACAAACAGCTGTTTAACCAACCCCCGTGTCTGAGATAACCTGGAAAGGCAATCCAAATACTTTCCTCAAGTAAATATTGCAAGCAGGTAAGAAACAACCAGGAGATTATCCCTGATTCTAGCAGGATGTCCAGCTTCACACAAGCAGCATACTTCAGTTCACACCAGCAGGAGGTTACCCTTAAATTTAGCAGGATGGTTCAGTTCACATAGGCAGCAAGTTTCCCTTCACAGCAGCAGGAGGTATCCACACCAGCAGGGACCTGACAATCATGTGATAAAGGAATACTTAACAGAAAGTTTGCTAAGTCGAGAAGTAGGGGACTTGAGGACAAGGCTCCTTTACTATGAGTGGAAATTATGCAAACCGTTAATTCCATCTACCAGGAGCTTGCATCGACAAGCTTACCTTTTGACACTACTGGCCTTTTTAGCAGGAGGATGTTCTCAGCAGCAGGAGGAAGTACCCCTTCGCACCAAACAGCAGATCTCTCATCACAGCATGAGGTTTCACTTGACACAAGCATGGGGTTTCCCTTTACACCATCAAGTGTGTTCTCGCCAGCATGGTCCTGGCAAACAAGTGATACAATGATAATGTTTTTAGCATTTTCTATTACTTTGGGAATGAGTTCCATCAGGGATTAGAGCCAACATTCGTAGAGTGAGGCACCAACTTGCTCGTACACAAAATGCTTATGACTTGCTAACCATTAACTAATTGAGCTGCTGGTTAGCAAACATGGCATGTTTGTGCATGCGATTAGAACATAATGCAAGAAAAGGGTTCCCTTGAATAATGTCAATGATTAGGATTAATTCGAGTTAGATGTCAACACGAATTACTTTTGTTTGCAACATGGCTGGGATAGTTATGATATTTAAATCTCACAACCTATACTCACATCATGCAAAATGCAACAATGAAAAATAGGGAGTTATTTCCTTTGACCATAAACAAAAGATTCTGTCGTGGACCCATAACTGGCACCAATGTCTGTATAAGCCTGAACAAGTGGTGACTATAGAAAAGAGAATGTAGACTTACACTTCACTACATATCTGTACTTCCGAAGATTCTCTTCACTGCAACTGAAGACGAGGCACACAGAAGGAAAACACCTCTCAGCACTCTTGGGATTCTCTCAGCACCTGGAGGCACAATTTGCAGACACATAACAGATTCTTCTCACACCTTCAGAACATTAAACGAACATGCTGGATACCCCTTCAAAGTGTCATGTATGGATTGAACAAACAAAAGGATAATCAACCAAATGAAAGAACCAAATGGAGATTCTACTGGAATTATGCTTCTACGTCTATTGAAACAACGTTAAACAGAGGCCACTAGTTCACACCAGATCACATGAGAATATGAAAGTATCAGACGATCAAACAATCAAAATCATGAGTTTACATCCACCATGAGGCCAAAACAAACATACAAATTGAAATATCAGAAATCCATATTAACCAGCCAGGGATGTTCTGGTATTTTAAATATTTGTCGAGAACGGTAGAAAACAAACTTCTTTCCATCAGTTGAATAAAACTCATCAAACCAGTCTTTCAACAAACAGCTGTTTAACCCAACCCCGTGTCTGAGATAACCTGGAAAGGCAATCCAAATACTTTCCTCAAGTAAATATTGCAAGCAGGTAAGAAACAACCAGGAGATTATCCCTGATTCTAGCAGGATGTCCAGCTTCACACAAGCAGCATACTTCAGTTCACACCAGCAGGAGGTTACCCTTAAATTTAGCAGGATGGTTCAGTTCACATAGGCAGCAAGTTTCCCTTCACAGCAGCAGGAGGTATCCACACCAGCAGGGACCTGACAATCATGTGATAAAGGAATACTTAACAGAAAGTTTGCTAAGTCGAGAAGTAGGGGACTTGAGGACAAGGCTCCTTTACTATGAGTGGAAATTATGCAAACCGTTAATTCCATCTACCAGGAGCTTGCATCGACAAGCTTACCTTTTGACACTACTGGCCTTTAGCAGGAGGATGTTCTCAGCAGCAGGAGGAAGTACCCCTTCGCACCAAAAGCAGATCTCTCATCACAGCATGAGGTTTCACTTGACACAAGCATGGGGTTTCCCTTTACACCATCAAGTGTGTTCTCGCCAGCTTGGTCCTGGCAAACAAGTGATACAATGATAATGTTTTTAGCATTTTCTATTACTTTGGGAATGAGTTCCATCAGGGATTAGAGCCCACATTCGTAGAGTGAGGCACCAACTTGCTCGTACACAAAATGCTTATGACTTGCTAACCATTAACTAATTGAGCTGCTGGTTAGCAAACATGGCATGTTTGTGCATGCGATTAGAAAATAATGCAAGAAAAGGGTTCCCTTGAATAATGTCAATGATTAGGATTAATTCGAGTTAGATGTCAACACGAATTACTTTTGTTTGCAACATGGCTGGGATAGTTATGATATTTAAATCTCACAACCTATACTCACATCATGCAAAATGCAACAATGAAAAATAGGGAGTTATTTCCCTTTGACCATAAACAAAAGATTCTGTCGTGGACCCATAACTGGCACCAATGTCTGTATAAGCCTGAACAAGTGGTGACTATAGAAAGAGAATGTAGACTTACACTTCACTACATATCTGTACTTCCGAAGATTCTCTTCACTGCAACTGAAGACGAGGCACACAGAAGGAAAACACCTCTCAGCACTCTTGGGATTCTCTCAGCACCTGGAGGCACAATTTGCAGACACATAACAGATTCTTCTCACACCTTCAGAACATTAAACGAACATGCTGGATACCCCTTCAAAGTGTCATGTATGGATTGAACAAACAAAAGGATAATCAACCAAATGAAAGAACCAAATGGAGATTCTACTGGAATTATGCTTCTACGTCTATTGAAACAACGTTAAACAGAGGCCACTAGTTCACACCAGATCACATGAGAATATGAAAGTATCAGACGATCAAACAATCAAAATCATGAGTTTACATCCACCATGAGGCAAAACAAACATACAAATTGAAATATCAGAAATCCATATTAACCAGCCAGGGATGTTCTGGTATTTTAAATATTTGTCGAGAACGGTAGAAAACAAACTTCTTTCCATCAGTTGAATAAAACTCATCAAACCAGTCTTTCAACAAACAGCTGTTTAACCCAACCCCGTGTCTGAGATAACCTGGAAAGGCAATCCAAATACTTTCCTCAAGTAAATATTGCAAGCAGGTAAGAAACAACCAGGAGATTATCCCTGATTCTAGCAGGATGTCCAGCTTCACACAAGCAGCATACTTCAGTTCACACCAGCAGGAGGTTACCCTTAAATTTAGCAGGATGGTTCAGTTCACATAGGCAGCAAGTTTCCCTTCACAGCAGCAGGAGGTATCCACACCAGCAGGGACCTGACAATCATGTGATAAAGGAATACTTAACAGAAAGTTTGCTAAGTCGAGAAGTAGGGGACTTGAGGACAAGGCTCCTTTACTATGAGTGGAAATTATGCAAACCGTTAATTCCACCTACCAGGAGCTTGCATCGACAAGCTTACCTTTTGACACTACTGGCCTTTAGCAGGAGGATGTTCTCAGCAGCAGGAGGAAGTACCCCTTCGCACCAAAAGCAGATCTCTCATCACAGCATGAGGTTTCACTTGACACAAGCATGGGGTTTCCCTTTACACCATCAAGTGTGTTCTCGCCAGCATGGTCCTGGCAAACAAGTGATACAATGATAATGTTTTTAGCATTTTCTAGTACTTTGGGAATGAGTTCCATCAGGGATTAGAGCCCACATTCGTAGAGTGAGGCACCAACTTGCTCGTACACAAAATGCTTATGACTTGCTAACCATTAACTAATTGAGCTGCTGGTTAGCAAACATGGCATGTTTGTGCATGCGATTAGAAAATAATGCAAGAAAAGGGTTCCCTTGAATAATGTCAATGATTAGGATTAATTCGAGTTAGATGTCAACACGAATTACTTTTGTTTGCAACATGGCTGGGATAGTTATGATATTTAAATCTCACAACCTATACTCACATCATGCAAAATGCAACAATGAAAAATAGGGAGTTATTTCCCTTTGACCATAAACAAAAGATTCTGTCGTGGACCCATAACTGGCACCAATGTCTGTATAAGCCTGAACAAGTGGTGACTATAGAAAGAGAATGTAGACTTACACTTCACTACATATCTGTACTTCCGAAGATTCTCTTCACTGCAACTGAAGACGAGGCACACAGAAGGAAAACACCTCTCAGCACTCTTGGGATTCTCTCAGCACCTGGAGGCACAATTTGCAGACACATAACAGATTCTTCTCACACCTTCAGAACATTAAACGAACATGCTGGATACCCCTTCAAAGTGTCATGTATGGATTGAACAAAACAAAAGGATAATCAACCAAATGAAAGAACCAAATGGAGATTCTACTGGAATTATGCTTCTACGTCTATTGAAACAACGTTAAACAGAGGCCACTAGTTCACACCAGATCACATGAGAATATGAAAGTATCAGACGATCAAACAATCAAAATCATGAGTTTACATCCACCATGAGAGCCAAAACAAACATACAAATTGAAATATCAGAAATCCATATTAACCAGCCAGGGATGTTCTGGTATTTTAAATATTTGTCGAGAACGGTAGAAAACAAACTTCTTTCCATCAGTTGAATAAAACTCATCAAACCAGTCTTTCAACAAACAGCTGTTTAACCCTACCCCCGTGTCTGAGATAACCTGGAAAGGCAATCCAAATACTTTCCTCAAGTAAATATTGCAAGCAGGTAAGAAACAACCAGGAGATTATCCCTGATTCTAGCAGGATGTCCAGCTTCACACAAACAGCATACTTCAGTTCACACCAGCAGGAGGTTACCCTTAAATTTAGCAGGATGGTTCAGTTCACATAGGCAGCAAGTTTCCCTTCACAGCAGCAGGAGGTATCCACACCAGCAGGGACCTGACAATCATGTGATAAAGGAATACTTAACAGAAAGTTTGCTAAGTCGAGAAGTAGGGGACTTGAGGACAAGGCTCCTTTACTATGAGTGGAAATTATGCAAACCGTTAATTCCATCTACCAGGAGCTTGCATCGACAAGCTTACCTTTTGACACTACTGGCCTTTAGCAGGAGGATGTTCTCAGCAGCAGGAGGAAGTACCCCTTCGCACCAAAAGCAGATCTCTCATCACAGCATGAGGTTTCACTTGACACAAGCATGGGGTTTCCCTTTACACCATCAAGTGTGTGTTCTCGCCAGCATGGTCCTGGCAAACAAGTGATACAATGATAATGTTTTTAGCATTTTCTAGTACTTTGGGAATGAGTTCCATCAGGGATTAGAGCCCACATTCGTAGAGAGTGAGGCACCAACTTGCTCGTACACAAAATGCTTATGACTTGCTAACCATTAACTAATTGAGCTGCTGGTTAGCAAACATGGCATGTTTGTGCATGCGATTAGAAAATAATGCAAGAAAAGGGTTCCCTTGAATAATGTCAATGATTAGGATTAATTCGAGTTAGATGTCAACACGAATTACTTTTTTGTTTGCAACATGGCTGGGATAGTTATGATATTTAAATCTCACAACCTATACTCACATCATGCAAAATGCAACAATGAAAATAGGGAGTTATTTCCCTTTGACCATAAACAAAAGATTCTGTCGTGGACCCATAACTGGCACCAATGTCTGTATAAGCCTGAACAAGTGGTGACTATAGAAAGAGAATGTAGACTTACACTTCACTACATATCTGTACTTCCGAAGATTCTCTCTTCACTGCAACTGAAGACGAGGCACACAGAAGGAAAACACCTCTCAGCACTCTTTGGGATTCTCTCAGCACCTGGAGGCACAATTTGCAGACACATAACAGATTCTTCTCACACCTTCAGAACATTAAACGAACATGCTGGATACCCCTTTAAAGTGTCATGTATGGATTGAACAAACAAAAGGATAATCAACCAAATGAAAGAACCAAAAGGAGATTCTACTGGAATTATGCTTCTACGTCTATTGAAACAACGTTAAACAGAGGCCACTAGTTCACACCAGATCACATGAGAATATGAAAGTATCAGACGATCAAACAATCAAAATCATGAGTTTACATCCACCATGAGGCCAAACAAACATACAAATTGAAATATCAGAAATCCATATTAACCAGCCAGGGATGTTCTGGTATTTTAAATATTTGTCGAGAACGGTAGAAAACAAACTTCTTTCCATCAGTTGAATAAAACTCATCAAACCAGTCTTTCAACAAACAGCTGTTTAACCCTACCCCCGTGTCTGAGATAACCTTGAAAGGCAATCCAAATACTTTCCTCAAGTAAACATTGCCAAGCAGGTAAGAAAACAACCAGGAGATTATCCCTGATTCTAGCAGGATTTCCAGCTTCACACAAGCAGCATACTTCAGTTCACACCAGCAGGAGGTTACCCTTTAAATTTAGCAGGATGGTTCAGTTCACATAGGCAGCAAGTTTCCCTTCACAGCAGCAGGAGGTATCCACACCAGCAGGGACCTTCTGACAATCATGTGATAAAGGAATACTTAACAGAAAGTTTGCTAAGTCGAGAAGTAGGGGACTTGAGGACAAGGCTCCTTTACTATGAGTGGAAATTATGCAAACCGTTAATTCCACCTACCAGGAGCTTGCATCGACAAGCTTACCTTTTGACACTACTGGCCTTTAGCAGGAGGATGTTCTCAGCAGCAGGAGGAAGCACCCTTCGCACCAAAAGCAGATCTCTCATCACAGCATGAGGTTTCACTTGACACAAGCATGGGTTTCCTTTACACCATCAAGTGTGTTCTCGCCAGCTTGGTCCTGGCAAACAAGGATACAATGATAATGTTTTTTAGCATTTTCTAGTACTTTGGGAATGAGTTCCATCAGGGATTAGAGCCCACATTCGTAGAGTGTGAGGCACCAACTTGCTCGTACACAAAAAATGCTTATGACTTGCTGACCATTAACTAATTGAGCTGCTGGTTAGCAAACATGGCATGCTTGTGCATGCAATTAGAAAATAATGCAAGAAAAGGGTTCCCTTGAATAATGTCAATGATTAGGATTAATTCGAGTTAGATGTCAACACGAATTACTTTTGTTTGCAACATGGCTGGGATAGTTATGATATTTAAATCTCACAACCTATACTCACATCATGCAAAATGCAACAATGAAAAATAGGAGTTATTTCCCTTTGACCATCAACAAAGATTCTTTGTCATGGACCCATAACTGGCACCAATGTCTGTATAAGCCTGAACAAGGGTGACTATAGAAAGAGAATGTAGACTTACACTTCACTTACATATCTGTACTTCCGAAGATTCTCTTCACTGCAACTGAAGACGAAGCACACAGAAGGAAAACACCTTCAGCACTCTTTTGGGATTCTCTCAGCAATCTGGAGGCACAATTTGCAGACACATAACAGATTCTTTTCAACACCCTTCAGAACATTAAACGAACATGCTGGATACCCCTTTAAAGTGTCATGTATGGATTGAACAAACAAAAAGGATAATCAACCAAATGAAAGAACCAAATGGAGATTCTACTGAATTATGCTTCTACGCCTATTGAAACAACGTTAAACAGAGGCCACTAGTTCACACTCAGATCACATGAGAATATGAAAGCATCAGACGATCAAACAATCAAAATCATTAGTTTACATCCACCATGAGGCCAAACAAACATACAAATTGAAATATCAGAAATCCATATTAACCAGCCAGGGATGTTCTGGTATTTTAAATATTTGTCGAGAACGGTAGAAAACAAACTTCTTTCCATCAGTTGAATAAAACTCATCAAACCAGTCTTTCAACAAACAGCTGTTTAACCCTACCCCGTGTGTCTGAGATAACCTGAAAAGGCAATCCAAATACTTTCCCTCAAGTAAATATTGCAAGCAGGTAAGAAACAACCAGGAGATTATCCCTGATTCTAGCAGGATGTCCAGCTTCACACACAAGCAGCATACTTCAGTTCACACCAGCAGGAGGTTACCCTTAAATTCTAGCAGGATGGTTCAGTTCACATAGGCAGCAAGTTTCCCTTCACAGCAGCAGGAGGTATCCACACCAGCAGGGGACCCTGACAATCATGTGATAAAGGAATACTCCTACCAGAAAAGTTTGCTAAGTCGAGAAGTAGGGGACTTGAGGACAAGGCTTCTTTACTATGAGTGGAAATTATGCAAACCGTTAATTCCATTCTACCAGGAGCTTGCATCGACAAGCTTACCTTTTGACACTACTGGCCTTTAGCAGGAGGATGTTCTCAGCAGCAGGAGGAAGTACCCCTTCGCACCAACAGCAGATCTCTCATCACAGCATGAGGTTTCACTTTGACACAAGCATGGGGTTTCCCTTTACACCATCAAGTGTGTTCTCGCCAGCATGGTCCTGGCAAACAAGTGATACAATGATAATGGTTTTAGCATTTTCTAGCACTCTTGGGAATGAGTTCCATCAGGGATTAGAGCCCACATTCGTAGAGTGAGGCACCAACTTGCCTCGTACACAAAATGCTTTATGACTTGGCTGACCATTAACTAATTGAGCTTAAAGTTGGTTAGCAAACATGGTATGTTTGTGCATGTGATTAGAAAATAATGCAAGAAAAGGGTTCCTTGAATAATGTCAATGATTAGGGATTAATTCGAGTTAGATGTCAACACGAATTACTTTTGTTTGCAACATGGTTGGATAGTTATGATATTTAAAATCTCACAACCTATACTCACATCATGCAAAATGCAACAATGAAAAAATAGGAGTTATTTCCTTTGACCATCAACAAAAGATTCTGTCGTGGACCCATAACTGGCACCTCAATGTCTGTATAAGCCTGAACAAGTGGTGACTATAGAAAGAGAATGTAGACTTACACTTCACTACATATCTGTACTTCCGAAGATTCTCTTCACTGCAACTGAAGACGAAGCACAACAGAAGGAAAACACTCTCTCAGCACCTTTGGGATTCTCTCAGCACCTGGAGGCACAATTTGCAGAGACACATAACAGATTCTTCTCACACCTTCAGAACATTAAACGAACATGCTGGATACCCCTTTAAAGATGTAAATGTATGGATTGAACAAACAAAAAGGATAATCAACCAAATGAAAGAACCAAATGGAGATTCTACTGAATTATGCTTCTACGTCTATTGAAACAACGTTAAACAGAGGCCACTAGTTCACACCAGATCACATGAGAATATGAAAGTATCAGACGATCAAAGAATCAAAATCATTAGTTTACATCCACCATGAGGCCAAAACAAACATACAAATTGAAATATTCAGAAATCCATAATAACCCAGCCAGGGATGTTCTGGTATTTTAAATATTTGTCGAGAACGGTAGAAAACAAACTTCTTTCCATCAGTTGAATAAAACTCATCAAACCAGTTTTTCAACAAACAGCTGTTTAACCCTACCCCCGTGTCTGAGATAACCTGGAAAGGCAATCCAAATACTTTCCTCAAGTAAATATTGCAAGCAGGTAAGAAACAACCAGGAGATTATCCCCTGATTCTAGCAGGATGTCCAGCTTCACACAAGCATACATTCTCAGTTCACACCAGCAGGAGGTTACTCCCTAAATTTAGCAGGATGGTTCAGTTCACATAGGCAGCAAGTTTCCCTCTTCACAGCAGCAGGAGGTATCCACACCAGCAGGGACCTGACAATCATGTGATAAAGGAATACTTAACAGAAAGTTTGCTAAGTCGAGAAGTAGGGACTTGAGGACAAGGTTCTTTTCTATGAGTGGAAATTATGCAAACCGTTAATTCCATCTACCAGGAGCTTGCATCGACAAGCTTTACCTTGACACTACTGGCCTTAGCAGGAGGATGTTCTCAGCAGCAGGAGGAAGTACCCCCTTCGCACCAAAACAGCAGATCTCTCATCACAGCATGAGGTTTCACACTTGACACAAGCATGGGGTTTCTTTACACCATCAAGTGTGTTCTCGCCAGCATGGTCCTGGCAAACAAGTGATACAATGATAATGGTTTTAGCATTTTCTAGTACTTTGGGAATGAGTTCCATCAGGATTAGAGCCTACATCTGTAGAGTGAGGCACTAACTTGTTCGTACACAAAATGCTTAATGACTTGCTGACCATTAACTAATTGAGTTGTTGGTTAGCAAACATGGCCTATGTTTGTGCATCACGGATTAGAAAAATAATGCAAGAAAAGGGGTTCCCTTGAATAATGTCAATGATTAGGATTAATTCGAGTTAGATGTCAACACGAATTACTTTTGTTTGGGTAACATGGCTGGGATAGCTATGATATTTAAATTACCACAACCTATACCTCACATCATGCAAAATGCCTGCAACAATGAAAAAATAGGGAGTTATTTCCTTTGACCATCAACAAAAGATTCTGTCGTGGGACCCATAACTGGTAACCAATGTCTGTATAAGCCTGAACAAGTGGTGACTATAGAAAGAGAATGTAGACTTTACACTTCACTACATATCTGTACTTCCGAAGATTCTCTTCACTGCAACTGAAGACGAAGCACACAGAAGGAAAACACCTCTCAGCACTCTTGGGATTCTCTCAGCACCTTGAGGCACAATTTGCAGACACATAACAGATTCTTCTCACACCTTCAGAACATTAAACGAACATGCTTGATACCCCTTTAAAGTGTCATGTATGGATTGAACAACAAAAAGGATAATCAACCAAATGAAAGAACCAAATGGAGATTCTACTGGAATTATGCTTCTACGTCTATTGAAACAACGTTAAACAGAGGCCACTAGTTCACACTCAGATCACATGAGAATATGAAAGCATCAGACGATCAAAGAATCAAAATCATTAGTTTACATCCACCATGAGGCCAAACAAACATACAAATTGAAATATCAGAAATCCATATTAACCAGCCAGGGATGTTCTGGTATTTTAACATTTGTCGAGAACGGTAGAAAAACAAACTTCTTTCCATCAGTTGAATAAAACTCATCAAACCAGTTTTCAACAAACAGCCGTTTAACCCTACCCCCGTGTCTGAGATAACCTGAAAGGCAATCCAACACTTTCCCTCAAGTAAAATATTGCAAGCAGGTAAGAAAAACAACCAGTGAGATTATCCCCTGATTCTAGCAGGATGTCCAGCTTCACAAGCAGCATACTTCAGTTCACACCAGCAGGAGGTTAGCCATCTAAATTTAGCAGGATGGTTCAGTTCACATAGGCAGCAAGTTTCCTTCACAGCAGCAGGAGGTATCCACACCAAGCAGGGACCTGACAATCATGTGTGATAAAGGAATACTTCTAAATGAAAGTTTGCTAAGTCGAGAAGTAGGGGACTTGAGGACAAGGCTCCTTTCTAATGAGTGGAAATTATGCAAACCGTTAATTCCACCTACCAGGAGCTTGCATCGACAAGCTTACCTTTGACACTTACTGGCCTTTAGCAGGAGGATGTTCTCAGCAGCAGGAGGAAGCATCCCCTTCGCACCAACAGCAGATCTCTCATCACAGCATACAGGCTCCTCACTTGACACAAGCATGGGGTTTCCCCTTTTACACCATCAAGTGTGTTCTCGCCAGCTTGGTCCTGGCAAACAAGGATACAATGATAATGGTTTTAGCATTTTCTAGTACTTTGGGAATGAGTTCCATCAGGGATTAGAGCCCACATTCGCAGAGAGTGAGGCACCAACTTGCTCGTACACAAAATGCTTATGACTTGCTGACCATTAACTAATTGAGTTGTGCTGGTTAGCAAACATGGTATGCTTCTTGTGCATGTGATTAGAAAATAATGCAAGAAAAGGGTTCCCTTGAATAATGTCAATGATTAGGATTAATTCGAGTTAGATGTCAACACGAATTACTTTTGTTTGCAACATGGCTGGATAGTTATGATGTTTAAATCTCACAACCTATACCTCACATCATGCAAAATGTAAACAATGAAAATCGGGAAGTTATTTCCCTTGACCATCAACAAAGATTCTGTCAGTTGGACCCATAACTGGCACCAATGTATGTATAAGCCTTTGAACAAGTGGTGACTATAGAAAGAGAATGTAGACTTACACTTCACTACATATCTGTACTTCCGAAGATTCTCTCACTGCAACCTGAAGACGAAGCACACAGAAGGAAAACACCTCTCAGCACTCTTAGGATTCCCTCAGCAAATTCTGGAGGCAGCCAATTTGCAGACACATAACAGATTCTTCTCACACCTTCAGAACATTGGAAACGAACATGCTGGATACCCCTTTAAAGTGTCATGTATGGATTTGAACAAACAAAAGGATAATCAACCAAATGAAAGAACTTCAAAATGGAGATTCTACTTGAATTATGCTTCTACGTCTATTGAAACAACGTTAAACAGAGGCCACTAGTTCATACTAGATCACATGAGAATATGAAAGTATCAGACGATCAAACAATCAAAATCATTAGTTTTATATCCACCATGAGGTAAAACAAACATACAAATTGAAATATCAGAAATCCTTGGCGACTATATTAACCAGCCAGGGATGTTCTGGTATTTTAAATATTTGTCGAGAACGGTAGAAAAACAAACTTCTTTCCATCAGTTGAATAAAACTCATCAAACCAGTCTTCAACAAACAGCTGTTTAACCCTACCTCGTGTCTGAGATAACCTGGAAAGGCAATCCAAATACTTTCCTCAAGTAAATATTGCAAGCAGGTAAGAAACAACCAGGAGATTATCCTGATTCTAGCAGGATGTCCAGCTTCACACAAGCAGCATACTTCAGTTCACACACAGCAGGAGGTTACCCTTAAATTTAGCAGGGATGGTTCAGTTCACATAGGCAGCAAGTTTCCTTCACAACAGCAGGAGGTATCCACACCAGCAGGACCTGACAATCATGTGATAAAGGAATACTTTTAACAGAAAGTTTGCTAAGTCGAGAAGTAGGGGACTTGAGGACAAGGCTCCTTTCTATGAGTGGGGAAATTATGCAAACCGTTAATTCCACTCTACCAGGAGCTTGCATCGACAAGCTTACCTTTGACACTACTGGCCTTTAGCAGGAGGATGTTCTCAGCAGCAGGAGGAAGCAAATTCCCTTCGCACAAACAACAGCAGATCTCTCATCACAGTTACATGAGGTTTCACTTGACACAAGCATGGGGTTTCCCCTTTACACCATCAAGTGTTCTCGCCAGCATGGTCCCTGGCAAACAAGTGGATACAAATGATAATGGTTTTAGCATTTTCTAGTACTTTGGGAATGAGTTCCATCAGGATTAGAGCCCACATTCGCAGAGTGAGGCACCAACTTGCTCGTACACAAAATGCTTATGACTTTGCTGACCATTAACTAATTGAGCTGTTGGTTAGCAAACATGGTATGTTTTGTGCATGTGATTAGGAAAATAATGCAAAGAAAAGGGTTCCCTTGAATAATGTCAATGATTAGGATTAATTCGAGTTAGATGTCAACACGAATTACTTTTTGTTTGCAAATACGGCTGGGATAGTTATGATGTTTAAATCTCAGAACCTATACTCTTACATCATGCAAAATGCAACAATGAAAAATAGGGAGTTATTTCCTTCACCATCAACAAAAGATTCTGTCATGACCCATAACTGGCACCAATGTATGTATAAGCCTGGAACAAGTGGTGACTATAGAAAGAGAATGTAGACTTACACTTCACTACATATCTGTACTTCTCCGAAGATTCTCTTCACTGCAACTGAAGACGAAGCACACAGAAGGAAAACACCTCTCAGCACTCTTTTGGGATTCTTCTCAGCACCTGAGGCACAATTTGCAGACACATAACAGATTCTTCCTCTACACCTTCAGAACATTAAACGAACATGCTGGATACTCCCTTTAAAGTGTCATGTATGGATTGAACAAACAAAAAGGATAATCAACCAAATGAAAGAACCAAATGGAGATTCTACTCGAATTATGCTTCTACGTCTATTGAAACAACGTTAAACAGAGGCCACTAGTTCACACCAGATCACATGAGAATATGAAAGTATCAGACGATCAAAGAATCAAAAATCATGAGTTTACATCCACCATGAGGCCAAACAAACATACAAATTGAAATATCAGAAATCCATATTAACCAGCCAGGGATGTTCTGGTATTTTAAACATTTGTCGAGAATCTGGTAGAAAACAAACTTCTTTCCATCAGTTGAATAAAACTCATCAAACCAGTCTTTCAACAAACAGCTGTTTAACCCTACCCCTGTGTCTGAGATAACCTGAAAGGCAATCCAAATACTTTCCTCAAGTAAATATTGCAAGCAGGTAAGAAACAACCAGGAGATTATCCCCTGATTCTCAGCAGGATGTCCAGCTTCACACAAGCTAGCATACTTCAGTTCACACCAGCAGGAGGTTACCCTTAAATTTAGCAGGATGGTTCAGTTCACATAGGCAGCAAGTGTCTTCACAGCAGCAGGAGGTATCCACACCAGCAGGGACCTGGACAATCAAGTGTGATAAAGGAATACCTTAACAGAAAAGTTTGCTAAGTCGAGAAGTAGGGGACTTGAGGACAAGGCTCCTTTCTATGAGTGGAAATTATGCAAACCGTTAATTCCACCTACCAGGAGCTTGCATCGACAAGCTTACCATTTGACACTACTGGCCTTTAGCAGGAGGATGTTCTCAGCAGCAGGAGGAAGTACCCTTCGCACCAACAGCAGATCTCTCATCACAGCATGAGGTTTCACACTTGACACAAGCATGGGGTTTCCCTTTACACCATCAAGTGTGTTCTCTCGCCAGCATGGTCCTGGCAAAACAAGCGATACAATGATATCGGTTTCTGTAGCATTTTCTAGTACTTTGGGAATGAGTTCCATCAGGATTAGAGCCCACATTCGCAGAGTGAGGCACCAACTTGCTCGTACACAAAATGCTTATGACTTGCTGACCATTAACTAATTGAGCTGCTGGTTAGCAAACATGGTATGTTTGTGCATGTGATTAGAAAATAATGCAAGAAAAGGGTTCCCCTTGAATAATGTCAATGATTAGGATTAATTCGAGTTAGATGTCAACACGAATTACTTTTTTGTTTGCAAACATGGCTGATAGTTATGATGTTTAAATCTCAATAACCTATATACTCACATCATGCAAAATGCAACAATGAAAAATATGGGAGCCTATTTCCTCTTGACCATCAACAAAGATTCTGTCATGGACCCATAACTGGCACCAATGTATGTATATAAGCCTCGGAACAAGTGGTGACTATAGAAAGAGAATGTAGACTTACACTTCACTACATATCTGTACTCCGAAGATTCTCTTTCACTGCAACTGAAGACGTGAAGCACACAGGAAGGAAAACACCTCTCAGCACTCTTGGGATTCTCTCAGCACCTTGAGGCACAATTTGCAGACACATAACAGATTCTTTTCTCACACCTTCAGAACATTAAACGAACATGCTGGATACCCCTTTAAAGTGTCATGTATGGATTGAACAAACAAAAAAAGGATAATCAACCAAATGAAAGAACCAAATGGAGATCTCTACTGAATTATGCTTCACGTCTATTGAAACAACGT